GAGTTCCAGTGGTTTATTTACTTATTTGTGAAACATTGAGAGAAATTTTGTAAAGGATCGAAATCAATATTGCATATCTTCAGATATCACCAAGAAAAAAAAAGTAGGTATTTGTCTTTATATTCTGGATAGCTTCTAAAGTTCTTGTCAAACCTAAGTATTTTTAACTGATCTCTTAAAGCATACTTAGGTTGAAGTTATGACTAGTAACAATGAATGTGAACCAATATTTCAAATAGCCTTATTGTTACTTCTGAGGTTTTTGACTGACTTATTGTTGATATGATCAAGTTACTGCTTTTACCTTGTCTATGTAAAAGACAGCACTTCCCAGAAGTAGAAAACATGTCAGCTCTGCCCTTTCCTTATTAATAGGAAAAAGCTGTATCCTCAATTTATGGTTTCAAAGCTAAAATGTTTTTAATCTAGTTTAATTAAAACTAAATAGTATAATATGTAAATCCATTTAAGTGGGCACACTGCAATATATTACAATATGTTAAAAGGAGCTAGCTGCTGTCAGTCCCTTTGTGTGGGAGAACACCCACTCTCCTCATGGTACTTGGCAATGGAGTATAACTCATGACTGTCTGACATATGGATTAAGTATGGGCGCCAGAGTCTATCTACTTATTTGCAAAGTCAATTTCTATTTTTGGATTGGAAATAAGTAAAAATAGAAGTTCTAATATTCTTTTCTCATGCCCTCTGGGGAGCCTACATCCCACTTAGGAGCCTACTGGTTTCATAGTGTACATTGGTGATTTGTTGCTGCAGTAGACATTGTTTAGTTAGTCTGAGCATTCAGTCCCTTCTTTTCCTGACATGAGGCTAATTTTCTTTTGGGTCATCCTTATTGGCTTAAGCCTATCAAGCCCAGCCCAGCCCCCCAGTCACAGTGATCAGCATGAGGATGTCAAGAAACTGGATTTAGGCTTTAAAAAACACAAATCCCAGGACTTTTGTAGCAGCTCCCCAAAGAGGCTCTCTCCTTCATCCAGATGGTGTGGTGCAAGGGCATGAGGAGGACAGCACTACAACCAGTTTCCCACCCTCAGAGCATAGACTGGAATTCCCAGGAGCCACTGAGTGAAACCCAGGGATAAAATAAGATTGCTTAAGGTAAAGGTGAGAGATGGCACGAAACTGGATCCTTGGTGACCTTATTTGAGCTCTTGGTTGAAGTCTTTCCTGAAGCCAAAACTACCCCCTGGATTTTTTAGCTATATGGCCAGTAAATTCCATTTATTTAAGTCAGCTTCTCTATTACCTGCAACCAAAAAAATTCCTCACTGTTACGGCTGTCAACTCCTTCATGCAGTTTGTTTTGTTGTTATTGTTGTTTGTTTCGCTTTTTGTTCACTGTAGAGAGTTACATTAACCATTCTGTAGCACAGAGTTACCATGAGTACCTGCAAGGACCTTCTATTGAATCACTCCCTTAGTAGCACACAATAATTATAAGCTTGTGTACGAGGCACTATTAAAAGTACTTGACATATATTTACACATTTAATCTGTACAATATCCCTACCCTATGAAATCAGTACTATTATTATCCCCACTTCACAAGTGAAGAAACTGAGATGCAGAGAGGTACATAGCTTGCCCAAGGTTACATAGTAAGTAGGTAAGCCAAGATTTACTACCAAGGCAATCTGGCTTCTAAATCCAGGCTCTTAATCACAACAATACACCAGAAAGACTGTACTACTCACACACTAACATTTAGCATTGTCCAACTGTCTAATTTTTGCCTCTGATGATTGTAAAGTATTGTTAACCACTTAATGTATAACCTTGGACAAATTACGTAAAATCTCTGTCTCAATTTCCTTACCTGTAAAATGGAGGTAATAAAATAATACTGATTTCATAGGCTCGTTGTGCAGTTTAAATAATACCAGTGATTTTTGAGCATCTATTTGTTGGTCATTTTGGGATTCCTTTTTTGGGGAACGGCCTGTTCATACCCTCTGTCCATTTTTCTCTTGGGTTCCCAGCCTTTTTCTTACTGATTTGCAGGAGTGACCTTTATGTTGCACTTATGAGTTCCATGTCAGTTTTAGATATAGAGTATCTCCTTCTAATCTATCATTTTTTCTGTGGTGCCCTTGAGTGAACAAGAATCTGTAATTTTGATAAAATCAAATCCATTGATTGTGCCCCAAACATAGAGAGAATAAAGATAAACAAACAAACAAAAAACAAAACTGTTTATGCCCTCAGCATCTTAAAATCTAGCTGGAGAATCAAAAACAACAACTATGTGAACAAGTGTTAAACATTGCACAACAGTATGCAATAAAATGCCAAGTTGTAAGGCTGTATAACCAACTGTTAACCTTGGAAAAGTATCCAAGTTTTTCTGAGCTTCAGTTTCCTTATTTGGGAAATGGAAGCAATAAAAAAAATGCCTTTCAGTTTGTTGTGATAATTAAATAAAACAAGACGTGTTGAATGGCTCTGTAGTACCTAGTACACAGTACCAACAGCAACTCAGATGCAAAGCAGGGTCAATGAAATAATGGCTACCATTTATAGAGGTCTATTACTTGCCGGGCACTTTCTATAACCTACCACATTACACTTCACAACCCTCTGCAAGACATTATCATTGCTATCTGTCAGGTGCAGAAACCTAGCTTCAGAGAGTTTAAATAATTTGATGAAGGTCACACAGCTAGTAAGTGGTAGTGACCGCATTGAAAGCCAGATTTGTTAGACTTTAAACCTCAGGTCCACTATGCCAAGTTATTGTCAGTAATGGCGCTTGAGAAGCAAAGAAACTTCACTTGGGTCCTGGAGAGAGAAAGACAGACTTTGACTTTGAATAGATACAAGGAGGAAGACAGGAAAGGAGATCATGCCAGATTCTGAAGGGGTGCGGTTGATGTGTGAGGGATAAAAAGTATTTTGAGTTATTAGAGGGCAGGAGCAAAACCTTATACATCACATTTGCCTTCAATCCTAGCACAGAGCCTGGGACAGAGGATGGGGAGGACATCTATTCCCTACTTCTCTTTTTTCCTTATCCAGGAAGCAGGAATGAGTTGTCTGACTGGTGAGCTTGAAAGAGGAACTAAGTATGTGTCGCTCTGACCCCTCAAGTTTGGGGAGCTCACCTGCCCTAGAAATCATGCGTTTTCTGCTTTTCCAGAAACTGTAAAAGTACAGTCAATTTTACAAAAGCAGATTTTCACAAAAGGGATCCCTCTGCATCTCCAGCCCTCTCTATCAGTCATGGGAAGTGGGGGGCGGTTCTGGCTTCCCAGTGTTGCACAGCAAATTGTCCAATTCCTCTTGGGACTGCCAGGTACTACAAGAACCATTTCATATGTCTTATTTTATTTAATTCTGGGGTGAAGTACATGCAGATCCATTGTCCTCGCAGATCTAAGCCATGGCCACCCTTCCAGTGCCCGCTCAGGACAAAGCTGAGATTTTCCTTTCCGTCAGTCCGACTCCAGCGGCTATCTCAATGGATTGTGAACCTGCGTGGGGAATATGGGTGCTATCTGAAACCCCCTAGAACCACAACAGTAGGCACTCAACAAAGCAATGAATATGAGAAGTTCAGAGGACAATGACAATACTGGCTTGATTTGAGCAAAGGGAGGATATTAAGTAGTTGAAGTGCGGTTAGATAAATAGGTTGGCCCCAGTAATGGGAGACTTTAAGGAAAGGCTGAGAATTTAGATTCAATGTGGAAGAAGAGTGCTGAAAGTTACTGAGGAGGGGAAGAGCCTGAGGAGGACACTGTTAAAATCAGTAGTGAAAAGATGGCAATGGGTTGCAGTGGAGACTAGGGGGGTAGAGCCTGGAGCTGGGAAGCAACCAGAGGTGGTTTCCAGAATTCCGGAATGAGGGAGGATGAAGGTCTGGCCTAGGGAAGTGGAAATGTGAATGAGGTGAAGAGATTCATGTGAGATCTCAAAGGGGAAACTGCCAGAACACGGTGAAACCGGGGTCTGGGAAGTGGGGAAATGTTTTGATGGCACTCCTCTGAAAGAGGTAGACGAGCAGGCCTGGGAGCTGGTGAGAAGTGGGGCTCAGCCTTGGGCATGTTAAATCTGAGGTGTCAAAGGGATTTGTTCTCAGCACCAGGGACACCAGACACAAGGCAGGAAAGAAGCCACAGCTAGGAGTTTGGGGAGTTAACACCTTCAAGGAGGCAGCATACGTTGAGGGCCCCTGGGAAGAAGTTGGTGGAGATGGCAAGCAAGAATAGGGAGGGGACCTGGGACGACCGGGATGGGAGCAAGGGCACAGGTGATGGGGGGGCAGAAGAGAGGAGGGGGACACCGCTCCTGGACCACAGCGAAGGAGGGGATGAGGCTGCTGGCAAACGCTGGAGTCAAGATCTTCTTAGCAGAGGGGGGCGGCTCCCACCTCTCCCAGAGGAAATTCACGGTTGAACCCAAATCAGCCTTTCCCATGCTGGCTGGTCTTCCGGGCCCTGCGCCCACTTCCTCGCACTCCGTCTGCCGTGACGCCCTGGTCCCTGGGCCGTGAGGGTCCCTCCGCACCTCCGGCCCCCTCTCCATCAGTCGTGGGGGGCGGCTCCGGCTCCCCAGGCCGCAGGGCGCCCTTTCCTGCACGTTCCCGCCCCACACCCGGCCGGGAGCCCCCTGCGGCACCGCCCACCTGGCCACAGCCGCAGCCCGCGCCCACGGCCCGCCAGGGCTGCCGCGAGCCAGCGGGCCCTCCCGGCGGTGGGGTTTCGGGCCCCCCACACCTCTCCGCCTTTGTTGCAGCGCCCCCCGGACACCCCCCCCTCTGTCTCTGCCTCCGCGTCCCAGAGGCCTGAGAAGAGGGGGGGTTCGGGCGGCGCCAGGACGCACGCGGGCTCCCCAGAGCGAGGGGCGGGGAGGACCGAGCAGAGCCGCGAGCGGCGGGGGCCGCTGCTGCAGAAGGGGAGGAGAATGGGGAGGAGCTGGGGGGCAGGCAGTCGGGGAAGGAGGGGTCTTAAGGGGCGGCGAGCGCAGGTCGAATTTCCTCGGAGGCTGCCGAGCAGCGGAGCTCCCACCTTCCCTCAGAGCTCGCTGCAGCGGCCCTGCCCCGCGCCCTCCGGAGACCGGGACGGGACCATGGTGAGAGCTGGGCGCGCGGCGCTGGGCACGGTGGCCCGACCCCTCCGGGCGGCCGAGGGTGACCGGGCGGAGAGGGCGAGTCTGCGGGACCCCGAGAAGTTTCCGGGGTGGGCGCGGGGCCCGGAGCCTTCAGTCTCGCTCTCCTCTCTTCCGCAGATGTGGACACGTTGGCTCGCGCTCGCGCTGGTGGCGGTCGCCTGGGTCCACGCCGAGGTAGGTGAGCGGCCGAGGAGGTCCGAACTCGGGCTCCGGGGCCACTTGGGTGTGCGCGCCGGACAGGCAGGCAGGGCGTCCTGGGGATGTTCTCCCGGGGTGGGACTGGGAGTTTCCATGCGTGGGGTGAGGGGGCGCTCCGAGCACAAATGCTACTTGCGAAACTTAAACCTCCAAATCGGGAAAAGTAGTTTGGGCCATAAGCTGGAGCCCCACCGCGGCTAATATGGAGGGAGAGTGAGGAGGGGGAAAGAGGCGAGCTGGGCGGATTGGGACGGAGGCTGCGACGAGAGCAGCCGCTGACTTCAAAAAGGCGCCTTTGAGTTCTTTCCTTTACTTAAGAGGAAATTAAGAATAGTTGGGGGCTTTTTCCTTCCAAGGCTGACTCCTCGGGGAAAGGGGAGGGGAGAGATTCTTCCTTTAGGGCGGAATGCTTTTTTTCTTTTTTTATAAAGTAAGATTATGATTCCCAGCATTTTTTTTTCTTTCTTTGTAAAGTGGCCTCGGATTTTGTGTTAATATCAGGGCCATATAACAACCTCTTTAAAAGCTCAATTTTCCCTTGATCCAGCGTTGCGCAAGTGTAAGAGATCCGTTGCTCTGCTCTTTGGGGGCTCCGCGTTTCCAAAGTATTTCAGCGCTTTTTTGGTAATGTTTTCCTTTCAACTCCAGTGACCTTCCTGAGACACTACAAACAAACCAACAAACCCTTCACTCACAAGCCCCCTCCATTAACTCAAAGGTTTATGGACAGAAAATAAACAATTCCAAATTCCCTGGGCTCTAGTCTCCAGAAGAGTGAGGTCAGAAACCAAACATTTGATAATTATGGCAGGAAATGTGGAAGGAATTAAAAAGCATGAGGGAGAAGAAATGGAATGTACATTACAAAAGAAATAGCTCCCTGGTGGGTGGTTATTCTCCCTTTTTGAATTTTTTTCTTCATATTACAGTGTAACCCCACCCTTTGCATCACAGCTTGAGTCTGCCCAGAAGAAAATCATAAAAGCATGCAAGTTCTTCATGAGTTAAAAAAAAAAATACACATGTATTACTTTCAACTCATACATAAACTCCACTTAATTCACTACTATGTTATTGGTTGCACTGGAAACAAAAGCTCACAATGAAATTTTAAAAATAGCTAATATTTACTGGATATCTACTTTGTGTTGTAATGAAACCCCCACTTTAATGATGGGGAAACTGAGTCAGAGGTTATGTAATTTATCCAGTGTCCTAAGCTGTTAAATAGTAGGAATAGGGATCTGAACCCAAACAGTCTGGCATCATACCCCAGGTTCTTAACCACTATCCCACAGAAGGCGTTAACATTTGGTGCACTTCTTACATAGCAGACATTGGACTGCATGTGTCATTTCTTTTCAATCTTCCCCAACCTTATGAGGTCAGTTTTATTATCCCCATTTTACAGAGAAAGAAAGAGGTTTAGGAGATTAGATAAACTGCCCAAGATCACACAGCTAGTTAGTTCTGAAGAAGGATCTGAATCCAGCTCCCTCAATGTTTGGGGCCCATCTTGAACTCCAGATCTGCTTCTCATGCGTTTTGTTTTCCAGGGTTTGAATTTGAGGGAGGGATCTCTCTTCACTGGCTGATTTAGCCCTGGCTAAGGAACACCCTTCCATCCCTGCTGGGGCCCTCAAACGGCAGCTGCAGTCCAGTGATGGATGAGGTGAATCCCTGGTTGGTTTTACGGCAGGCTTAGGAATTGCCAGCTAGTGTGTGAAATCACTCAGTGAACTGGAATGCAGATGTGAGGTATGAGGAGGCTGTTGGTTCCCACACCAGGAGACTGAAGGCTGAAGGCCCTGTGACCCAAGGTCCAGGATCTATTCGAGGAAGCCTGCATTATACCCCTCCCCCCAACCAGCATTGCAGGGAAAAGTTTTGCTCTCATAGGAAGCTCCCCCAGCAGCAATTTCCTGCTTTGGGTAGAAGAGCAGAGAGTTCTCCCACCAAATTCCCAGACAAAATCAAGAGGTTCTGAGGCATGAAAACAGAGAGTTGGAGCAGAAAGTAGGCTGCTAACTCAGGGTACCTGAGGAGTAGGAGGAGTAGGTGTGATCATGGTTACATTTCAGGGCTCCAGATTATTAAGGAATATCTTTTTTTTTTTTAAAGATTTTATTTATTTGAGACAGGGGGGAGAGTAAGAGGAAGGGAGAGGGAGAGAGAATCTGAAGCAGACCCCACACTGAGCGCAGAGCCTGACATGGGGCTCTATCCCACTACCACGAGATCATGACCTGAGCTGAAACCAAGAGTTGGACACTTAACTGACTGAGACACCCAGGTGCCCAAGAATTATCTTTTAATCAATCCAGTCTCTTGATGTCTGGCCTGAGTAACACGTGGCAAGTTTTTAATCCATGTTTAATAATAATATACCTCTAATTCTTAATAAAAAGGTAAATTAACCCTAGCAATTTGTATATTATTTTAAGTCTTTTGTCTTATAATTGTGCTTGCAATAGAATTTTTTTCCTTGCTAGCTATAAGAACATACAGCAAACAAAGCCAAATAATTATATTTATAGCCTTTATTGACATGAATCCACTTTAGTAGACTTTAGGGCTATAGTTGTACAAATATTGTTGAATTTTTTTAAAAAATGAAATTTAGAAAATGAACTTAGTTTTCTTGGTGCTTTTTGGTTTAATACAAGTATTCAACTGAACATATTTTTTAGATATGTGATTCCCTGACAAATCTTGTTGATATTGGAAGGAGCCAAGCCTTTGCAATAGTAGACCTCCAGAATCAGAGGTGTCCCAAGCTTGGGAAAAGGTGGTTGTCATCATTATTAATACCAGTCTGTAAATACTATTTGGTTAGATTCGAGAAACTATTAACAAATCTCATTAAGGAAAGTGTTATATTTCTAATGTTTTCCATGGTCTCTTTCTCACTTGGCACTACTTGCTTTTTTGATCGTTTCCTCTCTTTCTTACTTTCTCTTTGTCTTAATACTCTTTATCACCAATGTATGCCTTCTGGCAGCCCCACCCCAGATTCTACCCCGTCCACCTGAGCTCACTCATAGGCTCCTTTACAGTCTACGCTTGAGAGGGGTTATTGGGGAGTGTGGCACAGGTCTGTTGAAGAGCATATATTAGCATCTGTATGGGTGAGGAATGGGGGGTGGCAACAGCTTGAGGGAGTGCTTCAACTAACAATTACAAGGCTACCCCTTTTCTAGTTCTGTTGGGAGGGGGCTGTGGGGACTTGCTCATTCTCCTTCACCCATTTGCCTCCCACCGAGAATTACCGCAGTTCAGTGAGAGGTGTGGACAGAGGCTAGGAAAGTTTGACAGTCCAGGCATGAGAGCATGTGCCCTTGAGTCTGAGTAGGTGGATCCAAGTCCACTCTAACATGGCAGGCTGGAGGGGACCCTGTGGCCCAACTGCCTGCTTCTGAAAGACAGCCTGGAAAGCACCCAAGCACACTTCTGCTCTCCCTCGGTGGTTGTGTCTGCCAGCACTCTGATTGCCAGCATCCCAGGTTTATAGACTCACCATGATAAGTCACATGTGCAGGGGACTGATGCACAAGTCAAAAACTCACTGCAGTAAGGAAAAACTTGACCTATGAACTGTGAGTGCATCACTTAAGATAATAGAAGAAGAAGAAGAAGAAGAAGAAGAAGAAGAAGAAGAAGAAGAAGAAGAAGAAGAAGAATTACCCAGAGAGATGAGAGGATTATTAGGTCATTGTCCCTCTGAAGCCACATTTCTCATTTACGCCCTATTATCAACGTACAAGTTAATCAACCACTAGGAGTTTTATTGGCTGATGTGGGATCTTTTCTATATCCTTCAGAATTATTCTAATGGTGGATTCGGGGAGGACCAGAGTCTGACCCACATCCTCTGACTCCTCCTTGGAGCTGCAGCAGAACTAGGATTTTAATATCCATCTTGTAAATTAACCACTAAAATAATATCTTGTTTATCCATTGGCAAATAAACTACTTGCTGTAATTCTCAAGACCATTGTCAGAAGTTAGAATGTTAAAACATAGCAGGGCCTCTGCTGAATAACCAAAACAGATGGGCAAGCACCCTGCACACTGAGGCCCTGGCCACTGAAACTGTCTTTAGAAAGAGGACATGTTACAATTCCCATAGAAATCTCTAGATTGGGCGATGGAAAGCAGGAGACAGTTCTCAAGCTCAGAGGAGCTGGTTGGGGAGGAGCTGTGAGGTGGCAATCAGAGGGCATGAGCTGCAATGGATATAATGTCCTGGAGAAGAAAATAAAGTCTTCAAAGTCAGTGAGTCGGAAAGATGTGTTTCTAGGAAAACAGAGAAAGAAAAAGATGAACTGTAAATACCGGTGGTCACACATCATGAATTGAAAATGTCAGTGTTGTTTTCCTACTCCTCTTCAAATAACTGGACATCAAGACAAAATTTCTAGCAGTCATAAGTAGGATTAATGTAATGACACCAGATATTATAGGATTGAAGAAAACCTTACACTTAGATGGATTCATTTTGTAAGCCAGATGATTACTGTCATGCAAGTCAATGCATAATTTTCTCTAAGGTGCTGTCTTCTGGTGCCTGTGACTTTGGCTTGGTGTGCTTTCTCTAGGAATGAGTCATTACCAGCACAGGCCTTCTCTTCACAGGGCCCATCAGCCAGTATCCCTGCCACGGGCTAAGCACGCCCTACAGAGTCATGCATGAAGTGCAAGACATGATCTCTGCCCTCAGGTTGCTTACAATCTAATGATGGTCCAGATGCTCTAAACTGTGGCAGCTGTAATATCTTAACTACGTGAGAAACAAATACCTGTACAATTATTGCTTTTTTTATATTAACATAGGGGTTCCCTTGATTTTTAACGTTTTTTTTTTTTTTACATTAGTACAATGCACAAATCCTTAAGGTATAGCTTGACGAACTTTAACATATGGCTACACCCATGTAGCCACCACCCAATCAAGACTAAGGGAGGGCGCCTGGGTG